CATGTGAAAACGCTCTGTAGGTTAAACTCTGATTCTCTCCTCTTTGTACAGCCCTAGCAAGTTTTGTTATGGTGTTTGGAAAACTTTTCTTTGGTTTTGTCCTCGGTAACATCGCTTCTACCTTGGCCAATGCTGAGATCAGACGAGTTAAGTACGAGCAGAAGCTTGGAGCCATTCAGGTTTGTTACGTTAGTTAGTCCAGGGTCTCTTCACGCTTTTCCATTTTTCCTTTCTAGTTAGTGGTTAATCACAACCGCTGTTTGTTATATTTCAGGCGCATATGTTAGATCAAAACATTCCAGGGATTCTACAAAATCGAGTGATGAACTTCTACGAATTTATCTGGAATAAAAATAAGTGAGTAAACTTGAGTAGTATTATCTTCTTCCGCGGTACCAACAACTAACGTCATAGATCTCAGCTTGGGTCGAATACTCAGTCACTGTTCTGGTCACGACTTATTTCGTTAGGGTGATGTAGTAGCTCTCGTAAGGTCTCACATGAATAGCTTGCTACCCTTTGAGAGAACAATAGAACAAACAACAGAAACAATGTCCCTAGCCCTAAAACAATAACAGTTGCTAACAATGAAGAGAATTACAAGCTCACGAGAGCTGCTGCACCTCTGAGATGATTTCTTAGGGGTTATTATATTTGATTCGGGGTATGTTGAAACGGAAATCACTGTGAAACTGCTAAGGATAATTAAACATACTTTCAGGAACACAACGTACAGTAAAGAAACAAGATTTCGCTTCATCATGGATTATCAATAATTTCGGAGGCTGACTAGGGTCCTTTGAGATTAATATGAGGGGTGTTAGGTTCTAAGATTTAACTTTTTAGTTGTTTCATATATGGTTTAAAAAGTTAAGTCTTTGTTTCGTTGTTGTCACCTTTGAACATTCGCTTTCCAATGTAAACAATTCACATGCACTTTATCTAAGAAACTCACCAGCAACCAGACTATGACGCCCGCAAAGTATATCATTAACAGAGACACAGCAATAACCGGCCACGTATCGAAGACGGAACTAGTCATAACTTCCTCATTGATACGATGTTCAGACCCATCTCGTCGCTTTATGATCAGTACTCCAGGTACCTCCAACACAGCCACGAACTTACTAAACTCGCTGCCTCTTGGACTCTTCACTTCCACCGGAAAGCGAACGTTGGATTCTCCATCGTCGACGCTGGTGTATACCAGCTCGGATTTTCCATGTTCCATGCAGTATCCGCATGATTCTATAATTACATTGCCGATGACCTCACTTATACCTCCGCGTCCGCCTTTGTCGAGGGATGACGGACGTTTAAACGTTGAGAGACGCTTGGGACAGCGGCAGGTTTCTACAGTGGAGTTGCAGGTAGACGGTGTAAGTGCAATTATTGAGCTTCCAAAGGGTCTTGATAGTATCACACAAGTCAAAAATGTTAAGAAACGACAAAACGTTTAAGTTTATAAAACATGTTTCGACAGAAACTTCTGTCATCCCCAGTTGATCCAAGTTTTGTTGTTTTGTCGTTTGCCTAAAATTATTGAGTTGCTCTGCACGTATTGCGGGCTGTACCTTGACAATATTGAACCTCATTAAAATAGCAGTCACGGAAACACCCCGTTATTTACCCCTAGGACGAACATTAAACAATAGTAGAACGTCTTTATTCAGTCTTAAACTGCACAACCCAAGGAACTAAAGTTGAACCTCTATTAAGCGGACACTTGTTAAGCGGCCAGCCCTCTTTTACGCGGCCAGATATCAAAGTCCCAGAATTGTTGTCAGTAACATACTGTAAATAAAAGACCCCTATTAACCGGTCTCCTTTATTAAGCGGCCAGTTATCAAAGCCTTGTAATTGTTGTCAGTAAAATACTGTAAATAAAACCCCTATTAACCGACCACGGCCACTTTTTGGCCGTCTCAACAAGGGTTTTCTATTCATCTCCTTACCCCTATTAAGCGGCCACCCAAAATTTAATACACGCAGTTCAGCTATTTTATGACAGATAAGAGTCCGAAGTAGAAAGTGACCACTGATCAAAAAACACGCATATTATTACGTAATTCCAGATTGTATTAAAGCATGTTTGCATGTAAATAAATTGCCGTTTCTACTAAGATCTCAGGCTACATGTAGCAGAACCACATGCTAATTCCTCACGAACCCCTATAAAGCGGCCACCTCCCGTTTCAAGGGAAGTGGCGTCTTAATGGGGTTTGACTGTTTAGTGAGACAGTCTCTCTTACCAGCATAAACAACAGCACTTAAACGTCCAGCGCCCTTAGATGTGTAAGCAGCCATCTGAACCTGGTACTTTGTGGCTAGAGAGAGATTTCCAAATCTGAACGAAGTTTGTGAACCGTTTTCTATTTTTACCCATTCTTCAAATAGATCCTCGGGAAGATTGGTGTCGCTTCTGGCTTCTTTGACGTGTATTTCATATCCAATCACGGTCCCATGGGAGACACTTGTGGGAAGTAAATCCCATGTTATCATGATAGCGGTTTTACTGTAGAAGCTTTTCGCCACGGGTTGTGGAGCTCCACTGGGAACTGTTTTTTTGTTGTTGTTTTTTTTGAAAAAATGGAAAGGATTTCATTAGTATTTTGCTATTGAACAAATGATAAGATGACACGCCTGCCTTTGATAAATGACCGATATCGAAGCTATGACACGCAACCCAAACTTGAGAATAAGCTCTATATGGACGTACTACATTTGTTTTGCCGTTTTATATCAGACAGATGCAATCAGTTTAATTCAAATGTGTACGGATACGAAGATCTTGCCGTAATCTGAACCATTAAATTGTTAACAACGAGCACTGAGGACGTACGCTCTGATTGGCTCAGGAAGGCCTTTACCTGTTCTGAACATACCATTCTCAAACTCATTAATAATCCATCAAGTTTAAACAAAGGAAGTCATGACCGTGACGGTGTGTAGATATCTGATCTTAATTAACATAGATTTTAACGATTTTATTTCTCCGTTTTCTCCTTAGTTTTAGTCTCGATTGAGAAGATATATCAAACACTTTTTTTTGTGTTTGATATATTACTTGATAAACCTTTGTGGCATGTGCACGCAAACAACATGTGTTCAGGGCTGTATTCAAGTGTGAGTTTTAATGTATGAAAAATGTTTCAAGGCGCACAGGAGTGCCTTACGGGGTGAAGATAACTTCTTCATCCTTGATCTTGTCTCCAAATCCTCTGCTCCCCTAGTAAGTAGCAAGGACTGTGGGCAAGAAATAGACTTACCATCTTCATCGGTTGTAGTATTGAAGCAACTACTCTTGTTGCCACCTCCGACTCTTGTGAATCCAGCCAGCTTTACGCAGTACTCCGTGAACTTCTCTAGGTTGGTCAGACTGATTTCTAACTGATCAGTTTTAAGGGTTTTGTACTGAGTATCAGGTTCACTTGTTTTCCCATAAAACACTTTGTAACCAAGAAGTATTCCATGAATGAATTCTGTGGATATTGCCTCCCAGCCGACAGAAATGCTGGTGGAACTTGTATTCTGTCCCCGCATTATCTGAGGAGGATAACTTGGCACTGCGAAAAGTAAATATAAGTTTGTTATTTTCAGTAGAACGTATATATGGTTTATTGACCATGCGTGAGATCAAGATGGCTGGAAATTGGCATGATTAGAGGCTAGCCATGTTGAACGAACAATACAATACAATGCAATGCAATGCAATAAGAGTCTATGCAGAATGCAAATGAGGATATGTGACAACTGATAAAAGGGTAAAAACAAAGCAACGACGAACACATGAGATACAACAGAAAGTACAGTAAACAGACACCCTGAAAGGAAGTTAGGAGGTTAAACCTTTGTGAAAACTTCCATGAAATGACAACACAAATGAACGTTCATTTGCGTTTGTCACTCTAGGAGAATTTTCACTTGGGGCTAACCCCATGGGCGTGGTAATTATTTCAGTCCCATTGTTCTAATGGCGCAATGGAATTTAGAGTACATGTAGCCAGCTTGGGTTTGAGTGTGGTGTGTCCTGGAACTAAATAAACCTAAAATCCTACTTCTGAGGCCAATGAAAACTAGGTTACATAATAATTACAAAAAGAAGAAAAACCGATGGGAACTACTTCTTTTTTCCTAACCGCGGTGTCTAGTTATTCAAATTTCAGCTTTGATAAGCTGTTCCATAGCACGTGCAAGTCGTGCCAAGAAGAAAGGACATGGTGAATGCAGGTCTCTTAAATAAGAGGCTTAACATGCACTTTGAAAAATATCATGGTATCCCAAAAAAGTATCTAAGTTTAATATTGCGTACATACCGTCTTCGTCTGTTCTTGTGCAGGTACGGTTTGTTCGATTACTGTTTCCCTTACTGTTGAAAGCTTCAGCCCGCACACAATAGTTTGTGAATTTTTCCAATCCGACTAGGTCCTTGCTAAGAACATTGGCTTCGGTTTCCAGTTCTTCACCACTAGAACTTCGGCGTTTAACACGAGCGGGAGACTGTTTGTTGTCGGTATCCCAGAATAGTCGGTATCCTAAAATAATTCCTTGTCTGTTTTCGACAGGCACAGGATCCCAAGTAACTCGAATACTTGTGGAGCTGATGCTAAACGCTGCGAAATTCTGAGGCGGAGCATTAGGAGCTGAAAAACAAAAGTTACTTTGCGTAAAGTTTAGAGTGCGATTTAAGTCGCCTTTATGATCAAATGAGAAGAAGAAGACGAAGAAGAAGAAGAAGAAGAAGAACAGCAACAACAACAACAACAACAACAAAAACAACAAGAACACCAACAAGGAAATCAGCAAGATATATTATTTATAACGACATGAACCACAAACTTAAATTTCGTGAATTTCGATCGTTTACGGATAACAATTTCATTGGCCATAACTGAAAAGAAACTGAAAATTTACTGACCTATTTGCAATAACCGTTTATTTTAAAGAGTTTGCATGGTTACAGCTCAGGGGACACACTTTTCGTAGCAACTGACGACATTTGTATGAAATTTTTCGCTGTTTCAAACTTGTAATAAGGTGACTTTCCGTCGAAACGTTCTCAGACTTACTAAAACTACTAATTCTGGTAAGCTCTTTTAAATAAGGTCTTTAATTTTCACTTTCTTCTGCAGGCCCCTTGTAGTTTTTCAAATTCTACTCACGTTCTTCATCTGTGGTCACGAAGAGACAATGGCTTCTGTTACTAACCCTGTTGTTAGTAAAAGAAGCTATTTCAATGCAGTACTCCGTGAACACTTTCAACTTGGTCAATTCCACTGAGGAGTTCAGTGTACACAGGAGGTGGAACACTTCATTAGTCTTGTTTGGCTCCCTGTACGTCAGCTTGTAGCCTGATATATTGTCCTTGTTTTGGTAATCTGTGGAATGCCAACCCCACGTAACATTGATGGATGAAGAGCTTGTATTGTAGGCAGTTATTATAGATGGAGGCTCTACGGATCATACAAATAAAGCAAATATCAACTTGAAAAGCTAATTTAAGAGAATTAAAAAATATGATTTTAACATGTAACAGAGTTTAGCTTGCTCCGCCTCAAGCAAATTATTATTTTACAATAACTGTCTAATTGATAAGTTAATAAAGATGGTGAATTTTAAGCTCGGTAATGAAATGTGAAGGTGAATTAATCAACGTGACACGAGCGTGGCACAAAGAAAAATTCTCAGTCCCCTACAGGAATCGAACCCATGACCTCCCGAACACCGGGCGGGCGCTCTATCCACTGAGCTACGAGAACTCATGGAGAGCAAGGTCATTTAACTG